CATAGTGTCTAACAGTAGTATCAAGAAACTTATGTCAAGCTCAAAGAATGTTATAAAAAATAAGCAAAGTAGTGTATGCAAAACACTGATCACAAAATTAGGTGTGTAGTAAAAACTTTTATAGCAGGTTCTGAGTTTAGAGAGAACTGACATTTTTCATAAGCTTTTATGGAAAATAATCAACACCAATATTTATAATACAGTCTGTGTATGGCAAAGGACATGTATTAGACTTGTGCTATCGAAGATGTCAACAAAAATTTTAATGTCATGGGAACAGCATCACTAAATGTAGAAATGTATTAAACATATAAAACAAAGCAAAGTAAAAGCAGACAACATAGAAATGATAATTTTTATAAAAATATGGTTTTCATCTACATGTATATAAAAACTTGAAAGAACGTGAATCAAGAATTTATTAGTAGTTACCTGTAGTTTTTTAAAACTTTTATAAAAAATGAATACATTACTTTTATGAAAAAAAAAAAAAAAAGAGTACCTGTATTTGTCTGTATATTGAGAACATTTGAAGTTGACTCATGGTAATTTTGAAATACACAATACATTATTATTGACTGTAAAGAAAATTAACTATAAATTAATATTCTTGTAAATGACACATATGCAATCATTTTCACACTTTAACAACTTACGGCAATAGAATGGATAATAATTTGATACTAATTTCAAATGTATTTCTTTTTTTTTTCCAAAGAGTTTTTTTTAGGTACTGCACGCTCACAATTTACATGCACACACAACAAATTCCCAACATCTTAATCTACAAAAGAGAAAGAACCTTGCCAAATAAGGCTTGCAGCCATTCCACTTTCCAGCTTCATTATCTACATAAAGGTTGATCCACACAAAGCTATAATGGAGGGGAAGCTAAAGCCACAGAACTCTGAAGAAAACAAATTTAGAGAGAGTCCTGTGCCAGACATAAAAGTCCAATAATGTCCTTACACATCAGCCAGTGTCATTCACATTCTCAAACTTCATGAACTCCAAGGTTTTCATCATTTTCTATCTGCTCCACCACTGGAACTGGATACCTGCACATACACATTGCCCAACCAAAGTAAGACTTCAAAATTTGACACACTATTGGGAAGAGGAGAGGAATATATCAGTACTACCTTTGCTATAAACTTACTGTTTATGAGAAATAAAGGAAATACATGTGAGCTTGAACCATGAGTGACTACATATCACATCCCAAGCTTGTAAGTATCTACTGTCTAAGAAATATGTCTACAAAAACATAAAATGCCTTAATCTCTCATTGTTAAAAACAGCTAGAACTACACTTGCTAGTCATCTTCTCCCACCAAAAAGTAGAAATTACATCTGTTTTTCCCAAGAGAGGATAATCCATCTTCAGTATTAGAAGAGTAATATGAAATTTAATCACACTAGCATATATTGCAATTTGCTAAAAAGACTTGATAAATAATGAGTGAAGAAAGAGAATAAATAACAGTGTCCACGTAGTCAAATGAAGCTGGTATTTAATGTGTAATATCTTGTTTATAACCTTGACCATAAAAACCCAATGACTTGGATACAAGCACTTAAAAAGATATGAATCCAGCTTGGTACTTATCAGAATATATTGCCAAAGTTTCAAATAGAGGGGAGTGTTAAAACACTTCTTGATCCTGAATCATAAACAGGTTCTGTTAGAGTTGATCCATAAAAACAGCAGGAATTTGATTAGAAAGCCTAGTGAGCTGGTCTGAAAAATTCAAGTTTTGGTAAACATGTTAACTATCTCATAGGTTGTTTCAAATTTCTGAAATATATATGTATTATTTAATTGAAAAGAATTTCTAATTATTTACAGTTAAATTAACTATGAATCAAAATATATGAATCAAAAATTCTATGAATCAAAAATAAAAGTTAAATGTCAGCAAAAATAAATTCTTTAGAACGTTACTCAAAATAGTAGTTACTAACATTTGTTAAACTTTTTCATGTGTCAGGCTCTGATTTAAGCACTCTACATCTATTCTTAAATCCTATAAAAATGGTACTATGACAACCTTCATTGTACAAGAAACTAAAACATAGAACAAGTAAGTAACTTAATTAAGATCACATATTTGGCAAATAGCAGTGTTTGGGATTACTGAACCATTTTCCCTAAACCATTTGCCTCTCCCTTTCTATTGCAGAAACTCAGGAGTGGTAGCTAGTGAACACTAAAACTGATGTTCACACGTGCAACAGAAATTCTATCATTTCTAGAGCAACAGCGAGCCTCTAAGATCCTAAGATTAAATGTAACTTTAATTTAAAGAGTTTAAGATGACTGGTACATGTATTATGCACTAAAAACATTATGCATCAAATAACTATTTGTTGAATGAACTGCATCAATGAGAAAATAAAAGGTATTAAGGTCTTTTCTGCATATGAAACATAAGTGGAAAAACAGTGTCATCCAAAAATTTTGCTTTTATGAATATTGCCAATAATCCTTTGAAATAGAGACTTGTCAAACAAAATAATTGTATTTTAGCAACATCTAAACTAATGAAAAGATAAAAAACTTACAGTGTATTTTCATTCACCAAATATTTAAAGGAAACCCATTCAAAATAATCTGTGAAAATAAAATGCAAATTCTATAAAGCATAAAATAAATATATGCATACTAGTACTCAATAAATTTTATATCTAAAATTAAAATTGACACCTACATTTGGTCAATCAATGACTTCAAGATCAATGACAACTATACTAATTTGGAATTGTATACTTTCCCCTAAAATGAGGGAACCAATAAAGAAGGATTCATATTGCTTCCTTAGGTTTCAGGAAGGGTTATGAATAAATCTCAGTGCTCATTAGGAAAGCAAGTACTCTGCAGGTGGTTATTCATAATAAGACTATTTTATTTTATATTATCTCTAGTTCCAGTACTAAGACAGAGCCTGTGTTTCAAATACCTCTCAAATTACCTTAGTAGTTAAGTTGGCAATTATCAACTTCAACATATAATTTTAGGGCATTTTTTTTTAACTTAGAGACAAACTGTTTTCTCTTCATCCTCAAAGTAATGAATAGCCTCATGTTCACAACTTTTTAGGGGAAAAAAGAAATACCAAAATTTTGAAAATGTTCTAAAAATTCAAAAACTTAAACTGTGGAAAAAACTCATGCTTACATGTTCTCCAACAAAAATCACTAACCGAAAGAAAGGCAAAAGTTCATTTCACATCATTTCTAAAATGGTCATAAATGTATCTTTGACGAACTCACTTAAATGTTTAAAAGTCTTTGAAAAATTGTTAAAAAATGTCTGATTGTTAAAGGACAAAGTGTTAAAAAGTTAAAAATATTTTACTTGCTTCATATATACTGAAGAAATGCAAATTTTACATGAACAGTAAACTACTATTTCCCATTATATATATAAAACAAATAATATAAATAAGACAATTGGAACCAGGCATGGTGGCCTGGCTGTTAATCCCAACATTCAACATTCAAAAGGCTGAGATAGGAAGACCAAGGATTCCAGGCCAGTGTGTGCTAAATAGGGAGACTTTGTCCCAAAAAGAAAAACAGTGTGGCTTATATCTACTAATTGACTGGAAACTTCATTTGCTTTTTTGTTAAAATGGTTTTCTCAGGAAATCCAACACTATTTAAAAAGACACCTAACGGTAATAGCTTATGTGCTGTGTTTTTCACCCTACCTCACTGTTAGCAGAATATACAGACAGAGCCACCTTCTAATCAACATTGCATCTGTGTTAGGAAAGGTCTCTTCCACTTCTCCAGTCAAAATACAGTGTACAAAATGATTCAATTTCCCAACAGAGAATGAATTTCTAAAACAAACACAATTAAAGCTGGTCTGTTTCCATTACAGGCTTTCAGTGTTCTCTCCTTAACAGTACAGTTTTAAAGCTTCCTGTGTCTTGCCAAAGGAAAATGTTTGCCAAACAATGTGCCTGCTGCCATCCCAATTGGCTTTTCCTTTGTCCAAAATCACCTACTAATCTTTGCCCACCTCACTTTGTACTTGTCACTGAGAATGGTGCCCACCACACCCCGATTCTACTCATAAACCCTTGCAGATTAAGACTGTGGTATTTGATGAAGTTTTGAACCCCATAGAGCCTCCTCTAGAAGTATAGAACAAATAGCATCTTGCCAAATCTTTTCCCAAATCCTCTCCCTCGTTTCAGAAAACCTCTGAGGATTCAACCTCCCTTTCACACTTGAGGTGCTCAAAAAGGAAAAAAACACGCATACACACACATCCCTCAGGATCCCGTTTTGTAATCTCCAACCCTGAGAGATGCACACAGACATCCAAACTCTCAAGTTCTTCCTGTGCTCCCCTGCCCTTAAACACTGGCAGTTGGCAGTTGGAGTCTGCCACCAGGAAGTCTGGCTTTCTATTGGTCATTGGAAACCTCTTTCCCACCAGCCGCTCTCGTACCCAGGCCAGCTGAAGGGCTCTAAAGGTAATCATCATGTCCTCTCTGGCTCCCTTCCAAAACCACTAGTATTTGGCACTCCTGTGCACCTACAAGGAAATGATCCTGCAATTGCGCGGCAATGCCTGGGTGTCCTCCCGCGCCTTGGAGGAACACCCCTGAGAGCCACATAAATTGACCCCAGGAGTCCCATGAAAGTGGACAGGAGGAGGAGGAGGGCCTAAACGCGTGGCCTTGGGGCCCCATCTCCCCTCTGCCCTCCGCAGTCCAGGAAGCCAAGAGCATCCAGGAGCAGGGCGGAGCAACAGGGAAAGATCAATAAAGTTAAGGAAGAGCAGTGTGTGTGGCTGAGTTTGAGGAAAAAAGAGGGGAGAGCTCTCAGAAAGGGTTAAAGTGTTAATTGTGTCTATTGTGTTATTGTGGAAGATCTGCTCACATTAGTAAACCAGCGCCCTCCCGGGACACGCCCGCCGGGACAACCCTTCCGGGGCTGCAGCCAGGCTCGAGAGCAAGGAGATGCTTGGGTTGCAAACTTACGGAAAAAGATGTACTCAGTATAGCTGCTCCAGATCTTGTCGTCGCGGTACTGATTGACGAAGGCGGCCGTGCCAGAGGAGTTACACGCCACCATGTGGAAGCCGGCCTCCGACAGGCGATCGAACGCCTGCTCCAAGTAGGTGAACTTGAGGTAGAAGCGGGACGTGTACTTTTCAGGCTGCCGGTCTGGGTCACGACTCTCATTGAGTGTGTCCCCGAAGACTTCCTTGGCCAGCGCTATGCGCCCGCACACCATGATGCGCGCCACACGCCGGAACTTGGCATCCGCTTGGTTGTCACGGACCGTGGTGTAGGAGCCGCGGTAGCCCAAGGTGAGGAAACCCGAGCGCTTGTCGGGCATGCCGCCGCTGCCACCACCGTGCGCTCCGGGGCCCGAGGGTGCGGCGGCCGCCGCCCCGCGCAACAACAGCGCATCACTGCTGCCCTGCGAAACATTGTCCTCAAGGTCGCTCTGGCAGCCTTCGTCGTTGAGCGAGTTCTGTTTGGTGACCTTGGGCGAGAGCAGCTTGACCAAGTCCGTAAGCTGGAAGTACTCGGCTTCGCGCAAGAGCCTCTCCTTCTCGGGGAAGTGCTCGGGCAGGGCGAGCTGCTTGTCCCGCAGGTAATCCAGCACGTACCTGAAGAGGAAGCCGTCCCGGTCGATGAAGAAGCGCGCCCGGCTGTCCCTGGGCAACTCTCCCCGGCGCCGAGCGCCGCCCCGGGGGCTAGAAGGCGAGAACATACTGGCCAAAGTGCTGTCGGGGACGCTGAGCAGCGTCGAGTGCTTGGTCACATAGACCTGGCCACCCACGTTCAGTTCCACCACCTCGGGGAAAAGCGAGGGTGCGCAGGACCCCGGAGCGGCGACTGCCGAAGCGCCGGGTGAGCTGGACGAGGTGACCATCTCGCTAATTGGCAGGATGGTGCCGCCGCTGCTGCCCGTGTCCTTCAAAGCCATGGTACCCCCTCCCTCCGCCGGCCTGGTGACCCCAGAGAGCAGCACTTTTTGGCTCCTGTACCCCTCACAGCCCCCTGCCTTGTGCGTGCGCCTGGGCGCCCTGCACCCTGGGGCGCGATGCTCCGGGCGGGCAGCGCGACTCAGGGCTCCGGGCAGCAGCGGCGTCGCCCGAGCTCCATCGGGGGAGCGATGCGCCCGAGTGGAGCTCCGCGGGAGCGGCGGCGGCGGAGGCGCACGGAGAAGCTGTGCTCCTTTGGGGCGCCGGCGGGGAAGTGTGAGAGAGACTTGCAAGAGGCTCTGGGGCTGCGGCTCGGCTCCCGGCGGGGGGGACAGGAGGAGGGGCCGGGCCCGAGCAAAGAAAACTCGCAGCCCCAGCAGCTTGCGAGCGCGCCGCGAGCCCCGAGCGAGCGCGGACGGTGGCTCTAACTACTCGCAGCCCGGGTGGCGGCACTGACGTCAAGCCCCAGACTGGGACCAGAGCCACAGCTGTCATTTAAAGAGATAGACTCACGCGTTTAGATGCGGGACTCTGCCGCTAGGGGGCGGGGCCCAGGGCCGAGCCTGCAGGAGATGCTACCTGGGAGCCAGCCTGAAAAGCTTAGAGGAAACCACCAAAAACAAAAGGGACAGCATCTCTTGATCATTCATTTCATTCCCTCCTTCCGTCTGTCCCTCCCTCCTTATCCTCTCTCTCCTGCTTCCTGTCTTGCATCCATCCTTCCTTATTTTCTTCCTGTATGCCCAGTAAAACTAGTTTTTTAAACATTCTGGCTAAGGAGCACGCAGAGAAGAGGCTTTGATTATGACACAGATGACAGATTCCTAGTCTGAAATTACTACAGATATTGGCATTAAGCAGTGATTGAAAAAGAAAAGACAAAAAAAAACCTGTTTGGGAGGGAGGTTGACTGTCTCCTAGTGGCTTTGTGATATTCTTTGAAATGAAAGGCAAACTCCCTGTTACCTCTACTAATATGCAATTTCACAATTGCATATTTCACTGCATGCTGTGCTCCAGTTAAGGATTTATCATTCTAAATCTGATTTCATTTCGCAAAACAATAATGAACAATCTGTAACTGCAACTTTCTCGATAGAAAAAAATCGATTTCACAATATTTGACTCATGGTAGATGCATCATAAATGTTCATGTAGGAAGGGATTGTGCTGAAGAGCAAATGTGCTCTATTTGTTCCTTCTTTCTAATCCTGATCTCCTGATAGATCCCTTCTTTAATCTCTCAATTTCTCTTTAAACTTTTCAGAGTAAGAGAATGTCTTATATTACGGTCTTTATTAGCTTTCTGACCCTTCAGTAGTTAGGTCACAAATGTATTTAAGCCCACTTTGGTTTCTATTGTACACAGCTCAAGTACATACTACAAAGTCAGCACGATTTGTGAAAAGTGGGACACTCCCCATGGGAGAGTTAACTTGCTGTCCACCTTGGGACACAGCTTTGTGTCCAGAAACATAAAGAATAGTGGACTTACAAACTACAAAAGCAAACACAGCACATTGTGACACCAAATATCTTGTTTCAAAAAATGTAACAATATTACATATGAACTTTATTAACAGTTAAAATTCTATATAGGATTTAATGTTTAAAAATCCCTAAATGCCTATCTATGAGTCTTCCTCTTCAAATTCACAAAGATAGTAATGGATTTAAAATTCAGTTGTAGCCTTAAATTTCATAAATGATTGATTCATTGTTTTGGGGGCATTTCAAACTATAATTCATCAATCCTTACAAACCACATCCACAGACAATGTTACATTAATTTTGAAGTTTGATTACCCAAGTCAGAGAGAGCGTGGTGGACCAATGAAAGGACACAATATACTTGCCAAAAGACTAAGACTTCAAACTGGGTTTGCTATATACATATTTATGCAATTCTCTTATGCAGATCTATTGCCTCATACCAAATTTATAAACCAATTGATCAAATTAAAAAGTAAAATTGATTTAAGCCTTTAAATCTTTTAAAGGCTAAAACTATGCATTGAAATAACCAGAAGAAAATATATTAGTTTCTACCTCATTTGAAGAATAAGAAAACATTTGGATGTTTTCAGGAACTAAAATAATAGTTCCTGAAAAAATGATTTGATAGAAGCTTTATAACCTTCATAGATGAATAAATAATAGGGCCTCAAACCAATACTAATGAAGCCCATCTATCATGAGGTAAATATCTCTAATGATAAGTATGGTGCACACCATAGAATTTTAATGACGTGGCTATATAATAAGTTTGAATATATATTTATGAATATGAGGTCCCCAAAATTATCAGATTAAAATCTATTTTCTATTTTAATTATAAAAAATATACTTATGGTCTAAATTAATCACCTTAGAAATTCATAATGAATTGCAGTGTGATATACTGCTTTTTAAAATTATCCTTTCAACATTGATTGAACTTTTCTTCTTAATGCCTTCTGTCCCTATTCCTCTCACTTTCACACCATCTCCTCTCTATGCCCACTAAACAAATTCTAAAGCAAACAAATATAGGTACAGAATGTCTTTACTTGTTCTTCTTTCTGCTGGGGATCCCTTTCCTCTTCCACTAGCTCCCTCAGCCTTTTGAAAATCCTGTTTATTTCTTGCTTTCAAGTCTCAGTTTCAACATTATTTCCTTTGGAAATCTTTCCATTTTAGATTTTGTGTGTGTGTGTGTGTGTGTGTGTGTGTTGTTGGTGCTGAGGTTTGAACCTAGCTCCTTATGCATGCTTAGACAAACTCTCTACAACTCAGCTACATCCCTAGCCCAAATCTTTTTCCATTTTTCCATTTTTTATGCTCCTTCCTAAAGTGTTCCCACAGGATCCTGTTTTGCACATAAGACACTAAATTGTCTCCCACCAGATTGCAGGTGTGGCATATAGCCTTATCACTACTCTATCTTCAGAGCGGTGCCTAGTACATAAGAGTAGCCGCTTTCTCTTTGTTGAATGCTCACTGCACAGAAAGTGTTCATATTGTAAGCAGATGACAATCCATCATCTATGTACTGACCATCAGACTAACCATTGAGATTGCAGAATGTGAGATTTGTTCCTTCTCAATTAAAATCAAGACAAGTGAGAACAGTCATCAAAATAAACTCAGACCTAAAAAGGAAAGGAAAGCAAAGAGATGAGCAGGATAGGAGCAATGCTTTTGGTGCAATCACCATTAAATACCATAATCAGAACCATTTTGCTCTAAACCACAGGGATCATTAATGTTCTTGAGACCAATTTGATCACAAATATGGGTCCTTGAAGATCTTCCGTTGCTGTGCAAAGGCAAGGCATCAAATTTCTCTGGGTAGAAGCTATACTAGAATCCATTTCCAGCACAATTTAAAAAACGCAGCCAAATCTGTGTGGTTCTAAAAGTGCAGAAAACAAGTGATAAAGGACATAGTGAGTCCAGAGTATGGCACATAAATAATTTGTAATTTAAAATAATTAGCTGAATATTCCTTTACTAGGCAGAAAGCTATAGAAAGGTAGGAGCTGTTGTATCTGAAGGAAGGACAAAAAAGGAACAATGAGACTTAGAGTCACATAGAACTTGATAAAAAATCTAACTTTTTTCCTTACTGGCTCTGTGATTTCCAAGTTACTGAATCTCTGAACCTCAGTTTCCTCTTGGGCACAATGGGAATAATAAAGACCACAAGATCCTCACTTCACTGATGCTTCCAGTAACAGGACAATCCAAGTTTGATGTAATTCACTGTACTTAATACATTTGTTTCAAACCATTGTTCACAAAGATGGGAGAAGTGCGACTTCGTAACTACATAAATCAGAGCTCCGGAAGCAGGAAATTGATAATTCTGGTGCATCTACCTTCTTCTAGTTGTCTACCTTACCTAAAGCCTAAGGAACACGGTCCTACTATTATGAACATCCCCACACCACCATGTGCTTCCATGTCTATATCCATTGTCTGTTTCTTCCTACACATTACCATCCTAGACACTGATACGATTTCATTGATTAAATTTGCCTGGGTACTGTTCTTTTCTGTTTTTAATTTTGTTCAGTCTTTTCTCTGTGGTCTGATTTCCCATTTCAGTTTACTTGTGTCCAAGGCCAACTGTGACTCTAATGTTCAGTAAGCCATCTGGTATCTGTTTATCGTATTCCAGGCATTTGAAAGTTTGCAAAACAAACAAACTCAAAATTCCCATGTATCTCATGTAATTCAAAGCAAAAAGTTTGAGATTCTCACCACTTCCACAGACAGTATTTTTTATGAAGACATAACTACATATCTAATTTTAAATTTCTAATAGCCACATTAAAAAATAAACATGAAATAGTAAAATTATATTAATAACATAGTTCACTTAGCCTAAAATATACAACATATTGTCAGTTCAATATGTAATCAATATAAAATATATGAATAATATAATTTATATTTATCCATACTAAGTCTTGAAAATATGGTATGTGTTTTATACTTATGACACTTCTGACCTCAGACTAACCATATTTCATTTGCACAATAGCCCCACATGGCTAGTGGCTACTGTATCACAAATCATAGCCTTATAGTACTTGTGTCTCAAAAGGCACTGGAATTAGGTGTTTGAGTAGAGTCATTTAACAAATCGAATAGGGAGCATTACTATTTCTCTGGTCAAAGAAAGAACAAGAGCTCTAGTGAGAAGGAAATAATGTAATCACTAAACAATTTATGTTTCCCTTACACATCCCTATAATGGAAAAATTTTGAACAAGTTTTGCTGCACACATCAATCTTGCACAGCACAGGTCAAGTTGGGGATAATTTTTGTGGGTGTATGGCCTCCTGCAAGGTAGAAGTAAAGGGTCTCCTGCCAGAGTAAACAGAACAGAGCTAACCTTCACAGCAATAAGATTTAGGATGGAGGCACCCTCTCTTGACCTCCCCCCAAGTTTGAAGGCTCTATTCTCCCACTTTATTTCACTTCTATCTCAATGAACTCTCCTGTTTTACACCTTAGATAAAAAAGACTGAGGATGCTCTGGGAAGGACCATCTATGAATTCAACTGCTACTGGATCCAGAGAAAGTAGGAAAGCAGAATACAAAACCTAACTTATCTCAAGCTTCACATCTCAATTTTGAGAATGTCAATGATTCCATGAAATTGAAAACTTTTGCAAATGAGATATTTAGGAAATTTAGAGCAACAGTATGCTCAATACATGTTCTATAGTATGGTCCAGAAATTTAAACATCTTCATTTAATGTATGTAATGAGTCATT